CAGTCAAGTGAAGTACCCCGATTCGCTTGTGGATATCAGTATTTTATTTGCGGGATATATTTTCTCCTATAGCTGTCATTGGAGCCTAGATCTACTCCAGCTCGCAGGCCCGGCTCCATATTCGAGACTGTGGTTTCGGCAAACTGGTATCTGAGGGAGTTTGGCTTCCTTAAGTGAAACACAGTTGCCATCATGCTCCCTCCAGCTCTGAGGCCGCAGCTCGTTGAAAGCAGGTATGTGGGATTTGTGTAGGTTAAATAATTGAAACAGTGTTTCTCTTGGAGCTGCAAGTACGTCCTGGGGTCCGCCCAGCGAGCCGGGCCCCTCCGCGGCTCCCCGGCGCCTCCTGAGAAAAGCGCCCCAAACGCCGCCCGGGACGGGGGACGGGCGGGGGGCGGGACCGCGGCGGAGGCTGGTCTCCGTGCGGGGGGCGGGCGTCCCGGGAGCGCATCTGCTGCGGTAGCTGTCGGGACAGGCCGCGGAGGAAGGAGAGGGTCCGGGTGGGCGGGTGTCCACCGCCCTTCCCTCCCGCTCAGACCCTGGGGCGAGGCCGAGCTTGTGGGTCACCCTCACCCTGTGCTACAGGCAGGAGGGCTGGGAGGCGGCTTGTTCCGCGATGAGAACTCACGTCCCCCCGGAAGGTTCCAGCCCAGACTGTTCGCCCAGAAAACCCGCCATCAGCAGCCGCGTGGGCAGGTGGCAGGGGGGCCGGTGCGCAGCCGCTCAGCGGGGGAAGCCAGGGCTTTGGCCGGCGGCCCCGTCCCCCTGCGTCCCCCTTCCCCGCAGGACGCTGTGGGCTTTTTTGTTTCTTGTTTTGTTTTGTTTTGCTTAACCTCACATGAGAACGTGGAGAGAGAGGGAGAGAGAGAGGAACATCCATGGGCTGCCTCCCGTGCCCCCCCAACCGGGCACTGAACCCACAACCCTTCGGTGCACAGGACGGCGCTCTGGCCAGGGCTTGGCTCGGGTTCTACGGAAGCAGAAAGGGGTGGGGGTGGCCGCTCGAGGGGGAGAATGCGGACAGAGGGCGTGTGTCCCTGCCGCTGGCGGTACTCCCCACGCGGCGTGGAACTACCGTCCTCACGGGGGTCCCCAGGTCCTCGGAGGAGCAGCTGAGCCGCGCCTACCACCTGCTGACGGCCCAGCTGAGGCAGGAGCACGCCGAGGTCCGCCTCTCCGCCTTCCAGGTCGCCGAGGAGCTCTTCGCCCGCTCCCACCTGTTCCGGCTGCTGGTCGTGTCCGACTTCCAGGGCTTCCTGGAGCTCACGCTGGGCACCGACCCCCGGCAGCCCCTGCCGCCCCCCCGGGAGGCGGCCCAGAGGCTGAGGCAGGCTGCCGCCCGGGCTGTGCAGGGCTGGAGCGAGAAGTTTGGCGCGGCCTATAAGAAGCTCGCCTTGGGCTACCACTTCCTGAGACACAGCCAGCAGGTGCGTGGGCTCGCGTGGTGGACAGACGTGCCCGGGACCCGCAGCGGCCGGGCCAGGGTTGGGGACCGAGCCGGCCGGAGAGCGCCAGCAGGTGGGAGGCGCAGCTCTGGGAGGAAGCTGGGGGGCTCTCCAGGGTGAGGGGCGTGGAGCCTGTGGCCCCGGTGCCTCCAGGTGGGCAGGGGAAGGAAGGACAGCGAGAGCCCTTCTCTGACAAGCCCCCACCCTCGGACCCTCACACCCTTTGGCGCCTCTCCCGCGTCCTCAGGTGGTGGTCTCGGGCCCGGAGCCCAGCCGGGCAGCGCCGTCTCTGCTGATGGAGCGACGCGGTTCTGTCCTCCTGCCCTGTGTTGGGAGGTGCTGC